AGATTTCTGGCACTTCCAGTACTAATTAGTCCTGTTCCGGCGTCTGCCTCCGCGTGGTCCCCAAACCCTAAACCCTAAAACCCACCGGGCCTGTGGTCCACCTGAAGGAAGGAGAGAACATCACAGTATTCCGCAAAAGCCATGGCCGGCGGTTCAAGTTCCAGCTTCGTAGATGTGGATTTCGGTTTCTGGCTAAGGGTAGGGGCTATGGTCTGGGAGTGTACAAGGCCTTTTGGACCTATATAGGGTTCAGGGCATCGGGGTGTGGCTCAGGGTCGCGACTTTCTGGGTTTCTAGAGTTAGGAAGGGTTCGTCTTGCACAATTCAAGACGTCGTGTCAGGATCCAAGAGGGCCCACGTTCAGGTTCTGCATGCAGACGGTCGGAGACGATGCCCATGCGTGTTCATGTTACCTTGAACCTGACTTGGCAGCGGCAGAAAGCTTCATCAAGACCTTGTGGCTGCAAACCTGCTTGGACAAGCAACCCCCTGAACGCTAAACCCTTATTGTATATAGATACCGCTCTAAAAGCCCTTACAACCACAAGGACGCTGAGGTGGGATTTCCAAAAACAAAGACACTCCCACATAACCACTGCGTTTCGGGAATCACAAACCCCTAAAACCCTCAAAACTACCCGAAAAAGCCAGACCGAAAAGACGAAAGTGAGGCACGAAGCTGTTCCCCCCAGTCATCCCGAAAAGGGCATAGTACGAAACACATCCTGATTCTGGCAGGATCACCAATCCACACCCTGTGCTCGAAACCATAAACCTAAATCTAAAGCTCGACCGAATTTCCGAAGCACAGGCACTTCTGAAATCCAAACCCACAACCCTCGACCGCAGGCACAGTGCCCGCTTAGGGATAAAAATACAAGGTAATGTAGATCCCTGATTAACAATCGTCTTTTACGGGCCCTAGTATCAGGGTGCCGATTACATGTTGTGTTGAGCTACGAAGGCTTCTTTCCCGCGATCTACATTCAGGTCGTATGGTTAGCCTCAGGCACTCAGAAACGATGCCATGTTTTGGGCAGAGTTTTAGGCCCTAAACCCTGTAAACCCGGAACCCCGAGCCTGTACCCATCAAAAAGCCCCGCGAAGGCCTCTTCAGCTCCGCCGCGTCATTCTGGAGCGCGGCCCGGTAGAGGGCCCCAGCTGCAAACCTTTGGCGGATTGGGCCTTAGGAGTGGATGTAGGGGCTCTGGGCTGAAACTCGAAACCCCTAAAACCCTAAACCCTACACCCTAAATCTCCAGCTGCAATTCTTCCAACTTTCAAGCTTCCGAAGCATCGAGTTCGAACCCCCTCGCTCAAGACACAGCTCTGAAACAAAATCCTGAAACCCCTTCAGCCCCAAACCCCTAACTAAACCCAAGCCCCGGAACCTAGCCCTTACGATAACCCGTGTAGAAACCCTCTAGAGAAACGCGAGAAACCCTGCTTGAAACCCTTATAATTAGAAGCCTTTATAGAAACTCTTACCGAAGCCCTTGTTGAAACCCTCGTGCCCTGATTCCAAAAATCCTAGAATAAACTCCAAACCACAAAGGCTATGAAAGGGGGGGGCCAGGCTGACAAAACCCAAGGCGCATGCGCCGCACGCGCGCGTTCATGCTGTCGAAGGCCTCGCACTCCTCAGGAGGTGGCTGGGCCCAGTCCTTGCAGCGCTTGTGCGCCAAGACTTTCTTTTATTAGGGGCTTCAGGTTTTGGTGACTTCAACCTCAAGATTTCTGGCCTGACATCCAAATACATAGCCCGAAACCCCTCAACCCCAGGCCCTGAACCCGAAGCCCTACACCCA